GCCTGACGTGAACCATCCCGTATATTTTTCTTCCAGAAAGCAGGCACGAACTGCGGCCTCGTTGCCCACTTGGTCTGCTTCCATGGGTAGAGCCCACAGTCCAGCTGGGAGATCCCGGATCGAGACGTTGCTGACGCTTCACCTCTCTCCCCGTTGCACCGTTTCCCCCCACCCGACAGAGAAAGCCCCAGTGCCGAGGTGGAGGCCCAGCCGCTAGCCCTGCTCGGGAAGGAAGCAGGAGGGAGACAGCCGGGAGGTCGTCAAGAGTTGGCAGCAACGTTATCTGCTTCCCAGCTGGGGTGGGACACTTCTGCCAGGAAGGAAGAGGAGCTCTGCTCTTCCACTTCTCGGCGTAGTGCTTCATGGTTGGGAGGTACCAAATAACTCCCGTAAAACGCTGTCCCGGGTATGCTCTGCTTCACAGGGCCGATGGGACAGGAACTTTGGTATTTCTGCAAAATCCTTACTCTCTGTCTTGTCCAAAACTACAAAATAAACAACACAAAGTCTACCTTGGGGAAGTTTCTTTGGGGGTCAGAAGGCCCAGGGAAGTTGTGGGAACAGGGCGAGCTATTCCAGCTAGCTTTAGGGGGCCCCTTCCCATGCAAAGTCTCACTTTCTAAAGTCCCTGCCCCTCATTTCAAGCTCATCAGCTGGGTCATTGCACTGGGCTGTGTTGTGTGACCCAGGAGTCTCAGCAGCACCCAAGCAGAGAAGGCATTCACCTACCTTGGGAAGCCAGGCCAGGCTGTTAGGACTTAAAATATCAGCAAAATATCTATCAGCATCTGTTCAAGTACTCTGAAATGGCTGCAGCCAAATTGCTCAAAGAGATGCAAGATTTTAAAACCTTCATAAGGTCTTTCAGTAGCAGGAGAGCACTCCAGAAATAAGCATCCCTTCCTCGCACCGCAGTATTTCTGTTGGCAAAGAAACAAACCCAACTGGGGAAAAAAGGCTCTCTGTTTTATTAAGTAAAAGTGCCATCAGCCTGATGTCAGGGAGAGGAGGTCTCCACCACGTCGCCCAAGGCACAGGTGAAAAGCAGATGCAAAGCTGGCTGAAATGGGGCTGATTTACCCCCTTTTCGGTTCTGCCTTCCCGAGCTCAGAGCTGAAGGTGCTTTTCCATCTGCTCCCTCAACTTGTATTTCTGAATCTGGAATAAAGTGCAGAGAGGAGGAGGAGGAGAGACTCAGACAGGAGACGGGACAAGAGGCCAGGGCTCCTGCCCTGCCCCAGTCCCTCTCTTACCTTGCCCGAGACAGTGAGCGGGTACTGACCCACAAACACAACGTACCGCGGGATCTTGAAATGGGAGATCTGGGAAGAGAAAAGCAACCGCTACGCAACCTGCCGGGAACAGTGTATCCTGCCCAGCTGGTACTACCCAAGCCAGGGCTGGATCCCCAGTTGCTCTAATCCCCCGTACTTTCACCTGCAAATCCCCAGCAGCTACTGGATGTACTGGTCCAGCAGGGAACTGAATTACTGGGCTCAGAGGAGTGGGAGACCCACCTTCCCTTTGCAGAAAGCTTTAATCTCTTCCTCGGTGCAGTCCTGCCCAGCCCTCATGCGGATGCAGGCGCAGATCTCTTCTCCCATCCGCGAATCCTTCACACCAACCACCTGGTTGGGACAGAAGGACGGCGTGACCCCTGGGGACATCCCTCTCCTCCCGCAGGGTATGAGTGCTGGAAAAACAGCGCGAGCCCTGACCCACATCACGGGCTGCTGGAGTCGTGGCGTGGGGCTGTGTAAAGGCAGCTTGAGCCGCCCGACCGTCCCACCGGTGCTTTCTACGTGACGACGAGCCCTCCTGGAAGGACTTCCCAGCCGTTTGCCAGGCGAAAGGTGGCAGAGCAGGCTGGGCACCCGGACGCCAGCACCTTCCTTTGGTTTTGCCAAGTCACGGGAGCGAGTGCTGAGTCAGAGCAGCCAGGCGGCAGCTCATCGTGGGCGCAACATGGACCCGTTATCCCCCTGCGTGCCTCTGCTTCCCCAAAAAACGGGGCAACAGGTTTCACGACCAACAGGGAGACCTGGGAGGCTGCTTCAAGTGCTTTGGGATCTCCAGATGAAACAGCAGGAGAGGGATGAAGTCGAATTATGTTATATATTATATATAATAATATATTAATATATTATTATATATTAATTTTATATTAATTTATATTAATATAATGTTATATATATTTTATATATATTACATGAGGAAAAATTTCTTTATTGAAAGAGTGGTTAAACATTGGACCAGGCTGCCCAGGGAAGTGGCTGAGTCACCATCCCTGGAGGTATTTAAAAGACGGGTAGATGAGGCGCTTAGGGACATGGTTTAGTGAGCACGGTGGTGTTGGGATGACGTTGGACTCGATGATCTTAGAGGTCTTTTCCAGCCTTAATGAATTAAAGGACTATTTGAAACCCTTATAATGGCAGATCTTAGCAGACCACTGCCTGTGACACCAGGAGGTGGGCTTCCCAAGCCTGATCTCTCTCTAAAATTTGCTCACACTATTTCACGAGAGTCCTACTGTCATTCCCTGCCTTGAACCAGTATCTCGAAATCCTAGAGACACGTCAATCCTTTTGAGTCCAGAGCAGTGACAAAGCCCTAGAAACTACATAAACAGGGCTGGTTTGCAACCCATCTGCACTGGGACTGTTCCAAGGAGAGATGCTAGCCTGGCACAGGCACAACACTGACTAAAGTGGTTTATTTATGGGGAAACTTGTCTGGCACAAAACCTGGAGAACAATCCCAGCAGACTGGGAGCAGCTGCTCAGTGCTGCAAATCATTGCTGTCTTGTGAAAGGGTGAAACTAAGTCTCACTCCTCGTCTCCAGGGGCTCATTGGAGGAGTCTTTTCGGATTTAGGAGTTTAGTAATTAATTATCAGTAAAAACTGTCCTTCCAGACTGCTTTCCAAGTAAGAATTTCAGAGGGAGCTATGAAAGTGGACAGGCAGTTTAAAAACTGAAGAATGACAGTCACTACTTTGCAGACGTGAAGCTGGTGCACGAGGGGATTGCCCGAACCGACGTGCCCCATGCCAGGAGCTCTGCCTGTCCCTTCCCTGCCATGAGCCTCTCCCTCCCGCTCGCCGACCAGTATTACACAAAAGGAGACGCTGAAAACAGGGGGAGACAACCAGGTCCCAAGCAGCAGTCCCAGCAGCTTTGTGTACAGGTTTCCCACCACAGGAACCATTGCTGCTCACCCACCCCACCTGCCTCCCGCTCACCTGGACCTCCTCAACCTTGGGATGGGTGTGGAGAAACTGCTCAAGTTCTGCTGGGTAGATGTTCTCTCCTCCCCGAATAATCATGTCCTTGCAACGGCCTATAATTTTGCAGTAGCCGTGCTCATCCAGGCTTGCAAGGTCCCTGCAATGACACCACACTCCTAGTCCTGTCCCAGCTGGGTGGAAGGATGGCTGATGCTCCCACCCAGCCTGGTCTGGAGGCCAGGCCAGGGTATCCGGAGGGTAACGGCTGAGCTGCCACCTGAACACATGGAAGGGATCAAAGAGCTCCTGCTACAGCCAGACACTGCCATCGGCGGCATCCACACGAACATCAGGGCTCAGCGGGAGGCGATTCCTGCCCCTGTGGTGTACCCCCACAACCCCTCCATCGCACCAGCAGCGAAGCGACTATCCCCATCTCCAGGGGCACTTGGCACCGAGGGTTCCGTGCTAAAAGCTGTTCCGAAGTTCCATGGAGAGATCAGACCAGGAGGAGCAGGGCTGTTTCCAGACTCACCCCGTCTTGTACCACCTCTCAGCAGTGACCACTTCGCTCGTCTTGGTGGGGTCATCCCAGTAGCCCAGCATGACGCAGTAGCCACGGATCTGAAGCTCCCCGGGAGTGTTCAGAGGCACAGACTTCCCTGTTTCTGGATCCTCAATTTTTGCCTGCAGTGGAAGAGAAGAAGGGCTTAGTAGGGGACGTCTGAGCCAAATGTGACGGCGTGCCCCAACTCCAGCACCAGGCAGGGAGGACGGACTGAGGTCTGCTGCAGGCAGAGGACCCGGAGCAGGTGGGGAGGGGCACGGTCACCTCTGTGTGGGGAAAGATGTATCCCACCGTCTCGGTTTTTCTGGCGATGCTGTCATTGGGGAATCCCATGAAGGTGACAGGGCTGTTTTCTGTGGTCCCATAGGCAACCTGCAAACACAAGAGGAGAAACATGCCTCAAGGGGAAAGAGGACCGTGCAGCTCCAGGCATGGGAAAGATGAAGCTAGTGATGACCACAGGGGAGAGTGGGGTGGGAGGAGGATGTTCTCCACAAGTCGGTCAGGTCACAGGCAAGCACTGCTCTCCTGGCCCGTGGACGGGGCTCTCCAGACGCTCCTGCCAGAGAGTCCTGGAGAGAGAGGAGCTAAAGCAGCACTGCATCTGTCTGCCATGGCCTCCCTCACCTCCATCGCTGTGCTCCAGACCCTCACCACCCACGACACTTTGGGTGTCATGTACTTTTGACACCCCAACTACTTTTCTTGGAGGACCCCAGGGTTCACCCTCCTCTTTTTTAACCTACGTCTCTCCAAGCCCTGTCCTGTTGACTCCCTACCATCTCTGCCAGACACTGATTTTGCCTCAGTGCCCTTGCAGCCATCTACTCAAGGTGCTGAGTTCACCTTGCATCTTCTACAGCTCAGGGCACATCGGACATCACTTCGGAAAAACCTTGGAGCCAGCAGCGGGCTCCTGTGGGAGACCGCGTGTCCCGCAGCACGGCTGCTTGCTCCAGATCCTTTTGTGCAGACATCAGCTCCTGTAACCCTCATAAACGCATCACGAGGCTGCACAACGCTCGGCGCAGCTGCACTTACAGACTGAAAGCCTCACAGCAGGACAAAAGCTCTCGCTGCTAAACCTCTCTCACCGCTAATCCCAACGGCAGGCTCTGAGTCACCTCAGCTGAAGGTCACTTCTCCTCGGAGGAAAATTCCAGCTCTTTATGCCCAACTCAGTGGCCTGTCGAGACAGCAGGAGCTGGGCAGGAGGTGCTCTGGGCAGCTCTGAGCTGCACCACCAGCAGCACTGCTGGAACTGCTGCTTCACCTCCAGCTCTTGGGAGCTGCGTTTCAGCGGTGAGACATGCCACAACACTGCTCTGGTCTCTCTAACCCACTCGGCACGTCGTGTCCCCTCAGGCAGGGTTTCTCTCCCACCCACTAATGTCACCGGTGGCTACTTTGCTGGGAGAGCACAGCTGGGAAAGGACCGACACGGGAAGCGTTTGCTCCTTTCTCCTCCACACCTTCAGACCGACACGTGAGCAGCTCTGACCCACTGAACCGCAACAGGGCCCGACCATCTTCCTACAGCCTTGGCGGCCAGACCTGGGTCGTGCCTTTAGAGCAAATGCCTGGGCTCCATCGCTGGCTGCAAGGGCACGTCTGCGCGGCCAGGGCTTCTGCACAGTGCTCACCAGACTCCAGGCACCGTGCCCAAAATTAACAAGGGGCTTTGCAAAGGACTATGATGAGGCATCCTGAAAAACATACATATATCCTGAAGGTGCTATACATAATACTGGTGGGAGCACCTGGCACTTTCTGCCGCTTGGGTCTGCTGAAGGATCTCATGTTGGGCACAGTCTGTCATAACGGCTGATGCTCTTGTTTGACTACACCGGGGTCAGCGCGAATCCGAGCTGGAGATTTGCAGGAGCCTCCTCTTAGCCAGGAATCTGGAAGAGATCGTCTCCAGGATGCTGCAGGGACCATCTGGTGCAAACTGCTCTGCTAGGAGCCTGGCAACCCACAGGGAGCGACTGTAAATAGGCTTCTCCTACCAGACGCAACGATAGCTTCCCAGCCGGGGTGGAAACCTACAGTGTCTAATGCTCAGACAGGATTTCTCTCCCACCCACTAATACGAGTCCTGTGGCTGGATCAAATGACTGACGAGACACAAATCCAAGATCTTAAACACTTATTAAAAATCCCAGCGCCTTTGTTTTTTTGTTTTACTCTGCTGGATGAATTGCAATGTTGGTCCCAGGATCCCGGCCAAAGCCCTGAGTCAACCCTTTCTGCCTCTCCAGGTCGCTCCAGCAGTTTAATTGGACACAGCAGCAGGCAGCTCCCTGGCAGGACGATGCTGCGGGTACCGCGGCTCACCAGGATCCTCTAGATGCCTGGCAGCGTGCCGTGTACCCCAAGCACCGGCTGTCTGTGCCTTGGCCGGCGGCTTGTCGCCGTAAACACCCTCACACCCTCAGTAACGGGTTTCCTGACTCGGCCCAGAGAGCGACGTGGGTCTGAACCTCCAGCCTTCAGTCTTCTGCCTGATCGCTGCCTTCCCCTCCCAGCCTGCCTGCACCGGCACCGCTCTCTGCAGCCAGACACCAGGATGTTGCTCCTGACCTTTCCAAGATAGCATTCCTCTCTTGGGATAGTGTTTTCCCCATCTGCGTGCCCAGGACAGAGGCACTGGCTGGAGCAAGCCCTCGTGCCGGCTCTGCTGTCCTTCCCGACCCTCATCTGACACGTGGAGCATCCTCCAACGGCTCCATCGTTCCAGCCCAGCTGTGGCTCGTGGTGCACGAGATGAAACAATGCTTCCACAAAACCCCATACACCAATTTAAGCTTGGAGATATCCACGAAGATTCATAGTTTTCAAGACCCAAAGGGACACTTAGCATCCTCTAGCCTTGTCATCTGGTATAATTCAGTCCAGAAAACCTCACCCAATAATTTCTGCATCAGCTCCATAATTTCCACTAGAGCTATATCTTGTGTCAAAGCAAAGCTTTTCAGAGGCAAGGAGTCCAGCTCGGACCCTTGGCTTTGAGAGGAGCTACAAGAGTACAGAATATAACTGACTGTAAAGCCCTTTTTACTGTGAGGACCACAAGTGACCCCCCCCCCCAGTGCCCAGCACGCAGATCAGTCCTGCCTTCAGCAACGACAAGGACAGCTCCAAAACAAACTGCCACCTAACTTACTCCTACCGACAAGAGATTCATTCTTTGTGAATCCTAAGCCTCTGTCTAAACCAGGAATAAAAAGAACATCTTAGCAGAACTGTGTTTTTTAAAGCACATTTCAAAAACATTTCCTGCTAGCGCTGTTTAAACACTGGCCACTGCAGAACAGGCAAAACAGCCTGAAGAAGGAAGCGTCTAAAAATTAAAAATAAAGTAAAAACAATCAGACTCCAGTCTCTTTAGTAAACATTTGGGAGGCAAACTGATCTGGTGGGGAGAGCGGGGACTCTGAAGACCCTGGGTTTTTCCCAACCGTGACGCTTATTTACTGCATAACTTGGAACGAGTCACATCGGCTCTCTGCTCCTCGGTTTTCCCCCAGCGTTCAACGGCAATAAAAACACCCACTTCCCTCCGCATTCAACTGCTGCTGAAAGGCTGCGATGAAAAGGCTGGCTTCAGGACCACCAGTACCCCAAGCAGGGCTACACTGGGTGGGACTGGAGCAGAAGGTCCTTGGAGGAAACCCCCTCTGGACCTGAACGATGCTCAGGGAGGACCTTCACGTTCCTCATCACCACCCTCTGGTTGTGCCACGCTGGAGGATGATGGCAGGGCTTGAACCACCAAACTGAAGCCTACAGAAATTGAGCTTTACTGAAGACAATATTGGCCTCGGAAAAAAGCAGCAAATTGACCATGAAATAATAGGTATTTTCAGACTTCAAAGAAGGCATAGTGAACAACAGAAAGCAGACTGGCAACCCAAGAGATGTGCTAAGGGACCTCTAACAGACCCTTTGAATCCCTCACAGTGTAACATGCCGGATGGATCTAATTATCCCTAAACCCGTGCTGAGTGCGTTGTCTGCCTCAGATATCTCCACCAAAGTCACCCCCATCCCTTCCCTTCACAGCCAGCTCCAAATCATTCTCAACTGAGCAACGATCTTCCCTCATTCAGCTGCTCTCTACCAAGATCACGCTGAGCGTTGCTGTCCTCTGGGGACATGTGCCTCCTTGCTTTGGAGATGTCCTGCTATCCCAGATTGCGTTGGAATATTCCTGAACCTTCAGGTCAACTTTGCTGCTGCAAAAAAAACAACTTCTGATCACGTCCAGCCTATGTCACACTGAGAGTTCATTTCCTTCCCCAGCAACAGTACCATCTTTGTGTCAAAAACGTCAGGACACAAACAAGCAGGTCTTGTAGGACAAACCTCCAAGGGTGGCCACCCTGTTGGCATTTCTCCCCACCCGGAGAGCTGCCAGACGGTCCCAGTTTGGATGGGGCTTAAAAAGTTCCCAAAAATATCAGGTGCCCAAAGCACCGTCTTTGTGTTGTAGCACGCAATGGCTTTGCCTCAGGAGGAGACCACTGCAAAAATGGCAACCCAGCTTGCCCGGGCCAGAAGACTGCTGCTGAAAATTGACCTCCTGTTATTGTACAGTCAGGACAAACTGCTCCTCGCGGTCTGGAGTTAAAGCTGCCTCTCTTCTTCCCAGGCTGAGCAGAAGTCTTGAGGCTTGCAAGTATTTCCCTAGTCCTGCCAGCATGTCAGAAGCACTGCCCAGTGGCAACCAGCAAAGGCATGTGCAGTTACTTACTGGTTTATCCACAGCCTGATGAAAGGCCTTTGCTATGTAATTAACTCCATCCTCCCTGCTGCTGGGTGCCAATGCATTTAGAAAAAGCAGAATTAAAAGGAAAAAATGAAAGGAAACGTGCAGAAGCAGAGTCTTGCAAGGGTGGAAAACCACTGGTTTGGGGCTACCTGAATGCTCAAAGCTGCTGTAGAAGGAAACTCAGCAAAAACCAAGGGGCAGAGGTAACATCCCCACGGATTTGGAGAGCTCAGCTCCCACCGAAGACATGGCTGGAAGTCCAGGATCTTGTTGCTTCCATGCTGCATTAAGTGTTCTCACAGCACGTTCCCATAGCTTCTGCAGCTACTGAAACCACCTATTCGTCAGGTCCTCCCCAAAAATGAGGTGGAATGGGATGGGGAGGTCTCACTTTGGCTAAGGACAAGCAGGGAAGTTGTCACCGAGTGGAGCCGATTTTCCATTTTGAGAAGAGGGGGGGACTCATGGCTGGGGAGCGTTTGGGAAAGTCAGCAGCCTTGCATGGATCAGTTGTGTTCTGCAAGGGAAGAAAGCTCCACTCTTCTTCAGAGACTGCAAGAGCTGCAGAGAGGACAGCAGCCCTGGGCAGAGCAGCAGG